TTGCACTCAGCTTCCTGTCTCATTCTTGAGTCCGCAGGCTGCCGTGGCCAAGAGCCACAGTCTTCGCTGAGACTGGAAAGCTTCTTTGGCACATCCAGCTGCGAAAGCCAGCCTCGTCCCTCCGTTCTCTAAAAGGAAAAGGCAGTTCACGTCTCATGGCTTTATCTTTCGAGGATAAGAAAATGCACATCTAAAGATATCCACGTACAGATGAGGCTATAATCACAACTACCTGGGCATAATTGTTAGACTCAAAAAATCTACAGCAAATGAGTGCCCATCTTTAACATCAGGCAATGTGACAATCCCCTGCCCCTTCCCCTGTGTGGGCCAAGGTGTTCTTTTAGGTCCACTCACCAAGTTTTAGCTCTGATTGCTATTCTTGGGAGCAGCTCTCAGCTCAGGTGCAGTAACAGAGGGGTCTGGCTTGAGCACAGCGTTTTTTCAGGGAGATAAGTAACCAACAACTAAAATAAAACCAACTCGTGCATGCGCAGAGATAAAGGAAGCGACCGGAAGATGTGAGTGTGTTCCATGGACTGGGTCTGCTTCATTCACTCCTTTCCCCTGACTTATTCCATTGCCTTCATTTTGCCCATATTTCAGTAACACAATGATGAATGTTTTTGAATTATACTTTTTTCTGATTATTAAGGTAACACGTGAGACTCTTAAGAAAAAAAGTACTATAGACAAACACAACAACCAGAAATTTTCATAATCCAACTATCTAATGATAAACATTGTAAATACTTTGGAGAACTGTCTTTGTCTTTTTTATTCATCTTTATATAACTTCTTTTTACATTAGTTAAATGTATAGTGTGTTTACAATTTTGTTTGTATCTAACATTCTTCTAAAACATAGACTTCTTGTCTCTATGTTGGGTAGTATACATAGTATAAAGATATTCTATATTTAATGAGTCCTGGTTCAAATCAGTTGAGAAGATTTTTAGTTTAATACAGTTACTGTTATTGGTTCTTTGTTCTTCAACTGCAACTTTTATGGAGTGTTAACATACTAACATGCGCCATGACGTAGGAAGAGAGTTGATATACAAGTATAGTACAATATTTAATTATGCCGTATGAGATATTTGACTATGCCTTATTTGATTTTGGAACAAATCCACTTTTGTGGATTTATAATGAAGGATTTTACACCAATGTCCATAGCATTGATCATAGTAGCCAAAAGTTAGAAGCAACCCAAATATATATCAACAAATGAATGGGTAAGCAAAATGGTGGATAGACAATGGAACATTATTCAGTCAGCAAAAGGAATTAAATTCCCATGCATGCTACAATGTGGCTGAAACTTGAGGACATCAAGCTAAGTGAAGTAAGACAGCATGAAAGGACAAATATCCCATGATTCACTTTTATGAGGACACCTGCCACAGGACAATTCAAAGAGACAATTTTAAAAGATTTTACAGGGACTGGGAGTGAAGTTTGGGAATGGGGAATTACTGGTTCATGGTTTCAGAGTTTCTGTTTGGGATGAAAACATTCTAGACACGGACAGTGGTGATGGCTGTACACCATTGTGCACGCACGTGAGGCCACTGAATCGAACACCTAAAGTGATAAATTCTGCATTGCGTGTATTTTGTCACAATTAAAGGAACTGCCTAAAAGCTTGAAGAATTTGAAACATCATTTGGGAGAACAGAACAAACACTCACCACTGGGTACTTTATATGTATGGGTTGTCCCTGGCAACACTTTCCACACCCTCTTTTCCAGTGATCTCTGTTCTCGTTTGAGAATTACATGGTTTCAGGGAGCTGACTTTACCCTCACTTCTGGGGTAAAATTTACGTTTTTTAGACCAGGTTTTCAGCAAACCACAATCCACAGTCCCATTGTGGCCCCCACCCTGTTTGTGGTAAATACACACTTATGAAAACACCCTTCGTTTGCACACCCTCTGTGTCCGCATTTGTGCTGCCGCAGCAGAGTCGACTAGTGTGAAAAAGGTCCCATGGCCCACGATGACTAAAATATTTACTATCTGGCCCTTTCCAGAAAAAAAAAATCTAGCCTCTGAGCTACACTAAGCCAATCAGTGCATTACATCTCCCGTCCAAGGACTGACTCAAGGGTGGGTATGTGGCTTTGGCTGGTCTGCTCAGAACGAATTTCAGAAATTTTGCTTAGAATACCTATGAAAGAAAGTTTGTCTTCCTCTGAATTACAGGGGTTTGTGGGTTTGAGGCTTTGCAATGCTGCCACCAGTTCAGCTACTTACAGTAAAGAAGAAGCTGCACGTGGAGAAGATGAGAGAGCGAGAAATGAAGAGTAAGGCAGTCAGAGCCAGAGGATACTGTGTCCCTAAACAGAGTTAGGGGCAAGAGCGCCTGTGTTGAAGAAGAATGTTGGATCAATACACCTGGATCCTGGGTTACTTCTGGGCTTACCCATTTCATGAGCCCATAAGTTCACAATTGCTTAAGGCAACATGAGCTTGATTTTCTGATTTACCACCAAAATCACCCCAATTAATATATGTTGCTATAGTCTTCATAAACTAATTTTTATGGTGGCATAGGATTTTATCTTAATAACATGTTTTACTCAATCATTTTTCTAATATTTTGATCTTATAGATGATTTAATTTTGAGTTATTACAGTAAGGCTGATAATTAAAAATCTTTGTTCCTGAATTTCCAATTATTTTCTGAGAGTTGATCCTCAGAAGTAAATTACTGGGTAAATAATACCCTTAAGGCTTTTAACATCTATTTCCAACTTGCATTTTTAAAATATCACCAGAAATTCATGAGGATGTCTGTTTTGCCATATCTTGATCATTTTTAGTCTTTGCTATTTTCAGGATGAATTCTATTTCATTGTTTGATGTTCCTAAACCAGCATGTGCCTTCATTAACCACTTGTGCTGAAGGTGTGTGGATGCCCGCTGTGTAGTCAGTGAGGGCTGCTGCACCTGCTCAGTTTTGAAAGAGTAACTAGAATTCTTCAGGCAGGGATGAGGGGAAGTGCAATGAAGAGGAGACAATCGTGTGTGCAAATGCAAAGGTGCAAACAGAAGCGTACTCTGGGGCCGGTCGGTTGTTCTGCACACAAAGTGTGTAAGTACCTAAGTACGAGGTGCGGAGACGGCAGAAGCGGACAGGAAGGGGAGTCGCCAGACGCGCAAGAGCTGTGGAAGGAGGCACCATCCGGTCCCAGAGAACACGAACAGAGACACTTTGCTCCACGTGAAACGTCAGTGGGCCTGGAAGGGGAACATTCTGCCCACTGCTTTTCCAGCACTTCGTCAGCTCCATTTGTATTCATGTAAGGGGTGTGCTCATTTTAAGCGTTTTTCTCTCTCCTGACTCATGTATAGTACTCTGTTGTATTTTTTTTAACTATCCCCGTGTTTGGTAACAATAAACCTGCATTTATTGTAAATATTCTAATATTCCCATTATTGATTAGTTTAAATTCTGCCGTTCCTCCTGAGTTGAAGTTTGTAAGATTTCCTTTTCAGCTACTAGAAGGGTGTGAATACAGGGCAGCTCCTGTTACCTCCAGGAGGCCAAAGCACCAACTACCTTCCCCGGGGGCCTGCGGAGGGCCCCGAGAGTCTGGAGTTCAGAGTCCAGCTGCACCCCCTGCAAGCCTGTCTTAGTCCGTACAGGCTGCTATCACACGGAGCTGGTAACCACAGTTCTGGAGGTTGGAAAGTCAAGGCCGGGGCACCGGCTTGGTGAGAAGGCTCTTCCTGGTTCATGGCGTGAGCCTTCTCACTGGCTGGGTCCTCGCCTGGTGACGGCGGCTAGGGATCACTGCGGGGTCCTTTATACGGGCAGTAACCTCGACCATGAAGGTTCCACCTCCTCACTAAGCACCTCCCAAAAGCCCCACCGCCTGATACCATCATCTTTGGAGGGAGAGGTGGTTAGGATTTCAACATGTGCATTTGGGGCTGGGATGAGTACGCCTATTTGCACCTTAGGAAAGCCCTGGGGCTGGGTTTTGTTCTTCCTCAACTCTAGCCTGGAGGAATAGCTGCTCTCTGACCTGCCCAGGGGCAGTAAAAAGCCATTGATGACTTACATTAAAATTTCAAAGCGCATGGGAGGCACGGGGACTTGTCGGCTTCCAACTCGCTGCTCTGACGACTTAGGACCCCAAGCCACTAGACCTGAACCTGCCACAGACATGCTAGTTGACCTTGGGAAAATCATCAAACTTCTTTGCTTTTACTACCTCCGGCGAGTAAATTTGGTAAATGCTACTGAAAGAGCGGATGCTGGGCGGGTGAGGAAGGTGGGAACCTTGACAAATGTGTGGAATGTTCATTCTTTCCCCATTTGCTTATTGTGTTAGGTAAGTGGTTTTCAGCCCCGACCACACACCGAAATCAACTTGGGGAACTTTAAAACATATATTAGCGCCTGTGCCTCCTCACAGAGGTGCTGGTGTGTGGCCAGAGTAGAGAACCATATCCTTGTCCTCACCCCGATGGCCATGAAGTCACCGGAAAACAACCTCAGCCTGGGCACGGGGGAAGCAACAGGTGTGGGCTCCACCAGCCTCCCAGAAGGCCCAGCTCTTGTCACTTGGTGACCAAAGTTGCCCTTACCAAAGTTAGTAGGCTTTAACATGCACTGAAAGAACGTACTCCTAGTGTCCCTTATACTGGGACCTCCTAGGAGCCGTCACAAGAATAATGCTCTATAGATAAGGACGAAGCAGCCAAGAATTCAGCTCTGCCTATGACCAACAGATGGTGCTATTGACTAATGTCCTGCCATTTAGGTTTCTGCCAACCACTTATTCTTTAACACTTGGTATATTTGCAGTATTGGTGCATGGTTTTACAATATTTTTTAAAGTGTTTTGTGGGGGGAAATTAAATATTTTCCACTCCATATAGTGCAAAAGCATTGAGAATATTTCTGAGGAAAGGAGCATAAACATGACAAAATGAAAAGAGAGATAATTTTAATTTTTTTCCTTAAAAAAAAAAATTGTAACCCCTTGTCACACCGCTGATTGAAGCGAAACAACACCTCTGCCACCTCTCCCAAAAGCGGGGTTTTTACGTTGCCCTTTCTTGACGGCTCAGGGGGTCATTGAGTGCTTGGCCCAGTGAGTGCTTTTCAAAGGGGCGAGATAATTTTTAAAAATAGAAGATGGTGGGAAAATAAACGGAAGGTTACACATACATGTGGAATTAATTTTTAGATAGTAGAAGAAATCCGGAAGGCGGAGGGAATCGCGAAGCCCGAGAACACTGTTATGCCTACACAACCGACAATAACACACAAAAGATGCAGAGACGGATGGAATGGAAAACTCACGGGTGTGTCACTGGGGAGTTACAGTGTGAGTGCACGTTTCGTGACGACCCCCAACCGCCCAACTACTTTCTTTCCTCCCATTATCGTACCGCCAGCTCAGATCCAACCGTGTCCATCAGGCTGTTTTTAATTCTGGAGAAGGCTGGAGTGTTTTTCTAGAACTTGGGATGAAGCACAGTAAACATTCTGCTACTTAAACTTCTGGAATAAGTTGTGGATGGTTCTGTAAGGTTATAGCCTGTTCAGATCTGTGCTGCTTCAAGGTAGCGAGGCAGCCTGATCCGACCTTACCTGCTGAGGAGGTCTATGACTCATCACACCTGCAGAAATTACTGAGGCGATGGGTTAGATCAATGGGTTTAACACAGATCAAACAGGCCCATGTTAGGAAAAGATACTTATTGGATTGTATCAGAAAAAGGAGAAGGAGGATGCTGATATGTTCTTGCATCAGCAAGAATGATTGTAGCTGGGAAAGGCTGGCATCTTCCGGTGGAAATGCATGGGGCCACTGTGAGCTCAAATCCCTTCAGACACTTTGGACTTATGGTGCATCAGTCAGGATTCAATCAGAGAAGCGTAACAAGTGGGACACATGTAATAGGAGGTTTATCGCAAGGAATTGGCTCACAGGACTGTGGGCACCGGCTAGGCTGGTCCAAAACCCACAGGGCAGGCCGTCAGAATTGGCAGGCTGCCAGGCTGAGGCTGTACCCACAGAAGAAGAAGCTTCTTCTTCAGCGACGTCCCAGCTCTGCATGCCAGGCCTCCCAACTGATTGGATCAGGCCAACCCAGACTATCCAAAATAATCTCCACTATTTAAACTCTACTGATTATGGATTTCAATCACATTTACAAAATACCTTCACAGCAACACCTAGATCAGTGTTCGAATAACTGGGTACTGTAGTCTAGCCAGGTTCACACATCAAAAAGACCATCGCGGCTCTGGCCCGTGTGGCTCAGCTGGTTGGAGCATCATCTACGAACCAAAAGATCGCGTGTTCAATTTCCAGTCAGAGAACATACCTGGACTGTGGGTTCAGTCCCTGGTTGGGGCGCATGTGAGAGACAACTGATTGATGTTTCCCTCTCACATCGATGTTTCTCTCCGTCTCTCTCTCTCCCTTCCTCTCTCTCTAAAATCAATAAGCATGTTTTCAAGTTAGGATTAAAAACCAAAAAAGACCATTAACACTGTGTTTTGGAAACCAGTCTATTTCTGAAGAGCTTGTAGATGTAAAGACAAGAAAAGGATTGACGGTATCCTGTATTCTCCAGGAGCTAGCTCTTACTGTGCCATAGAAGGCACAGATAGTCATTATCCGGAGGAGCCAGTGACATTCTTCTTTTTTTTAAAATTTCATTGATTATGCCATTACAGTTATTCTATTCTCCCCTTTCATTCCCCTCCACCCTGCACCCCCCGCCCCCACCATCCCCCCTTTAGTTTATGACCACGTGTCTCAAGTTCTTTAGATTCTATATTTCTCCTATTATTCTTGCCCCCCCATCTATTTTCTACCTACCGTCTATGCTTCTTATTTTCTGTACCTTCTCCCCCCTTCTCCTTCTCCCACTCCCCTGTTGCTAACCCTCCATGAGATCTTCATTTCTATGTTTCCGCTCCTGATCTAGCTGTCCTTTTAGTTTGCTTTTGTTTTAGGTGTGGTTGTTAATAAGTGTGAGTTTGCATTCTTCTTATGTACTCATCATTCCTTTAGTTATTCTACAGACTTCAAGTACCTACTATATTCTAGTCACCAAAGAACGTACTGGGACTATAACAGCATGGCCGTTGCCCTCAGGCCAGTGAGAGAGATAGGGACACTAAGAGCTCCAACACCCTGTGGTGACCATGCAATGGTAGCTCAGATGGGCCTCTAACATAGCTTGTGAAGTCAAGGAAGGCTTGCTGGAAGAGGAGGCAGTTAAGCAGGGTCTAGACTTAAAGCCTGCAGGATATAGCATCTAGCAATGGAAAGAAAGGATGGTCCTGGCCCCTCACCCATGCTGACCCCACCCAGAGCCAGTGCTGACATTGTCAAACTCATTCTTTGTAAAGGACAAGTCCAGGGCAGATTCTCACAGATCATTGGTATTTTACAGTGTTTCTACCTCTGTGTCTCTCAAGGGGGCTGATAATGGTGTGTCCCTGGCTCCACTCCCAAGTCTCCAAGCCTTCATGGAGGCACTGCCTGAGCCGGGCGTGAGAGTTTGCTCCAAGACTGTCAGCTGCACGTGGTCCAGGTGCTCAGGACAATAGCTTTCTCTTCCCATTCGAGCTTGGCCAATTCATCTGCTTCCCTCGAAACGTCACTCTCCCGGCCTGTTTTTCCATCCTGTTACCATGTTTCTCCTCCCTTTCCCTCTTCCTCCAAGCAGTCGATTTTGTGCACTGGTCCTCTGCACTATTTGTTAGCATGCGAGTCTCCTCATTTTCAAAACAAAGTAAGTAATGTCTTTCCTGCCCCCTTTTCAAGAAAGGGTAAAACGAGGCATTATGTGAAGCTCCTGCAAACTGGCACTGCCACAAGAAAGTAAAGCACAGACAAGGCATTGCCATCATCTGTCTACCTATGCACCCACCCATCTACTAACCACTCCTGAATTGTGTAGCACTTAAGGATGAAGATCTTCTTTGAATCTACAGTACCCAACACAGTTTTCTACACACAGTGATTACTCATTAATTGTCTGGCAAAAACAATGATTATGAAATCATCAGAGACTTTGGGAGACAAATAATTGCAACAGCCATACCATTAGTGCTAGAATGTCCCCATTCCTGACTTCCGGCTAAGGGCTTCTTGACGACTCAGCCTACGCATCAGCTGTGCTACAGAAGCTTTTCCTGCTCACCTTCACATCAGAGTTGAGTGCCCTCTCCCGTTACTTGAATCCTCTCCATACTTGGCGCCTTTCTCTTTCCGTGGACGACTTTGTCCCTCAACAGCAGCGGGGGAGGGGGTCTCTGAGGTGGAGCACTGTGTTCTAATCATCTTTACCAGCAGGACTCAGTTCCCGGCACAATGCGATCATGCCAGAAACACCAGATTAGTAACATGATATTCATCATTATTGATCTCAATATTAGCTCCCTGCCAGGTAGTCCTTAGATACGTGCTTAGAAACTTCTTCCATGTCCTCGTCAAGTGGGTAGAAAATAAAACGGAGCCAGGAGACCTAGGCTGAGTTCCCGAGGCTGTGTTTTCTTAGCGAAGACATGATGCTCGTATTTAAACCTCTTACGTTTCTCTTGAGCAGTTGCTGCGGCTTTACTCAGGCTGTGTCCCTTACAGAGCGGGACACTGAGGAGGTTAGGTGGCAACGAACAGTGACAGCCAAACGCACCCGACACCCGAGGGATTTCTAAAAGGTGCTGGTGGAGGAAATCTCACCCTCCATTTTTTTAAGGCCCCCAAATGGTTATGCGTGTCTATAACACTGTGGACTCCTTTAGGGGAGTCAGAAATGTCTGAATTTATTTTTGTCTGTTTCCGATCTAATCCAGCGTGGGCACTCAATAAATATTTATTGATTTAGATATCTGTCGAGCCTGTCCCCTCAAGGTGGGGGCAGAGTTCTGGTTTTATTGCCTTAGTTATTAATCCATCTTTCAACCCAACTATTTCCTGTTGGTATGAGGCGCTTGGCAACGTGACTCCGCAGCCAGCTCACCTTTTCAGGCAGCGAGTCAGAAACGCAAAGACAAAGGCTTTCTGAGTCGCCCCTTTCAGGGAGGACGTATCCACTCATTTTGTAACAACGGGCTCAGAATTACGAATTAAAGGAGGCGCGAACACTCCGCTGTCTCCTGGAATGTGACCGCCAGAAAGCCACTGCCGTGGGGTAGGTCTGGGCCGGTGCGGTGACTTTCAGCTGCCGGCTGGGCTACAGGAAGAGTTTGTTGCATTAAGTAATTTATGGGGTGTTAAGAAGTTCCTTAAGCTATTATTAAAAACACGCAAACTCCTCCCTGGTTAGACCTCTAGTAAGTCAGACTTCTAACTAAGCAGAACTGATGGGCCGTCTTTTGATGTTTAATGAGTTCTGCCCCAGATGGGCGATGTGACAGGCAGGGCTGTGGTGGTGATTTACTGGTCATGAAACAGAATGATGAGAGCCCTCTCCCGAAAAAAAAGAAAATGTAGCCGAAAGGACAGGTCTCCCCCCAGCCTTGCTCCCCACCCCCCACCCCCAGTCCCTTCCCCTTTCTTTCTCGGTGCATATGTTTTTCATTTCCTCATCCCCGTGCCTCTCAGTGCCGGGATCATTTCCATTCAGGCACACACAAAACACTGCAAACTAATTAGCCTTGGATACAGCCACAGGAAGTCAGGCTGCCAAATCCTCTTTCCCCCACAATTCCTCAACCTGCTCAGTCCGCCTCAGGCCCACGGCCTTGCACTGGGGCTCTCTGTATAAGTTGCCAGTTCTAATTTTGCAATTTCCCTTCACCTTATCAAATATGCCCCAAGCCTGCCAATGGGCGGAGGGGGATGGCTTTGGAGCCAGTCTTGTCCTCTGGACTCTTTCCTCTGGCCCCGACTCTGCTTTTCTCCCCACAATTAGGGAGTCTTGTTTGGATATGGTTTCAGTGCTGACTTGTTAATCTGACCCCAGTTAATGCTCTTTAAAGGAGAGCGTTGCCCACCAGGCAGGACTCAGGAGACTTCCCCGCCGGCCTCTTCCACCCACCTCACAGCTGCGCCTCCCGGGGGGCCCTGTACCTCTGACTCTTCTCAAGGGTTAACCCATTTTCCCACGAGCTCTAGGTGTCAACTCTTCCCTAAGCAGTTTTGA